TTTCTCATTGTAACAAAAAATATATATATATATATGAAGTGTGCTCTGGTATTTAGCTTCAAAGGCTGCTTTCTCCTCGAAAAACTTTGCCTCCAACTCATCATGTTGGCTCTGCAATGATACAACAAAGCATTAGACTTCAACACACCCAATAAATCAAATGTATGTATAGAGAATCAAAGACATTCCCATAAATACCCATATAATTCAAGTGAAGAAGACAAAAGAATAAGAAGGCACTAGTCAGAACTGGGTTTTGAGAAAAGTAAGACCTGGTTCCATCAGCGCTATATGCCATTGCAGTGCACCAAAGTCCAGGGGCATCATAATCCACTCTTGATTCTAAGAAATCATAGAGCCATGCTTTAATTTTCCCATCAATGGCAGTGGAAAAAATAAACTGCAGACAGAGATAAAATAGATCACGAGTGAAACTACCAAGGGACTAAGCTCTTTGAACCTTCCTTTACCATATCAGCGAAGACGTGCCAAAAAAATCGTTCTTGTGACACCAAAGAACTGATAAGGAAACGGAAAGCAGTTGGCTCTCAAGTATCAGAATTATTCACCTGAATATTCTCCTTATAATGGGTCAGACAGAATATACAGGAGTTTCATGGCCTTCAAATATATATTGCCTGCGTCCAGCTACAGCATCCCACACCTATTACACAGAGATACATAAGAAAACTCCACTTAAAACACCCTAAAATCTTATTACAATTATACCTTAATTGTCTTGTCATCACCACATGTGACAATACAAAGTTGCTTATTAGGATGAGCAAAGGCAATATCATTAACACCACCAACATGAGCATCAATCTGGAACAGGGGAAAAGTCATCAGGTACTTGAACATTGGTCTCATTATTAGAAAAATCGAACATACAATAGAGCTTACTTCCAAATGTTGTCTTAATTCTCCTGCTATTGTAAGTAAATATCTGAACAATGTTCTTGAGAAAGCAACACCTATGAAAAAGTATATGTAAGATAAGAAATAAAACACAATTCCTAAGAAGGAATTTAAAGAAAAAGAAAAAAAACTCCAATGCTTGAAAATAAAGCATTTAGATGTACCAAGTATAGATCCATCTGGGCCCCAAATGCATCAATTGATAGATATGGTGGCATCTTTCACCAAAGCTGTCTAGAAATTATAAATTTTTTTACATAAAAATGGTAAGATACCACAGATAACATGTCAAAGGTAGCTAATACCAATGAAATTTTTACCTACAATGGCATTGAACAAGCTGAGAGATCCCAAACCTAGAAGAGTTTATGTGCTAACCTTTCTCAAGATCCAACTTCCCAAATGCTAATGTCACCAACATTCGTCCCAACTACATGGCAAGAGCATAACTAGTATAGCGATCTCGGTTGTCCCTTTACTGTTCTGTTGTATTCCAGACTCGGTTCCGTAGAGTTGATAGTTGTATCTATCTTGTTGTCGTCCTTTAATTCCATTTGTTTGAGTTTTAGGATGTGTTGGGCATGTTTCGAACAGGTGGGTTGAACCTTGGTCTAAAATCTTGTTGCCAGGTTTTTGGTCGTTCCGCTTGAGCGGGCCTTGTTGCGCTCGAGCGGAGATTGCACGCTCCCAGTATTTTGGTGCTCTACAGAACTTTTGCAAGCATGTTTTTCACGCTCGAGCGGGTTTCTTTACGCTCGAGCGGGTACTCTGGTGCTCAAGCGGGTAGTACTTTTTGGTGTAAGTTCTGGGGGGGAAATCTACGCTCGAGCGGACTGGTTTTCGCGCTTGAGCAGATGTACTTTATTCTTGTGTCTTGGCGCTCGAGCGGGCCTTCTTGCGCTCGAGCGTACCTAGTTTTTTGTTCTTGACGCTCGAGCGTTGTGTTCTCTGCTTGAGCGGGAATGTCGTATATCAGTTGGCAGCTGGGCATTTTAAAATCACTTTTTACATTCTCTCTCTCTCTTTTACTTTCTAAAAAGATATTTTGAGAGCTCCTCTCTCTAGAAACTCCCTTCTCTCTAGGGTATAATCTAATTAGAGTGTTTCCCTTCCCTTCGGCCTTTGTAAGAGTTGGGTTGATTGTCGAGGGCTACGTTTTGATCCGAGAATATTGAGTTTTGGAGCACGTTGAGTTTCTTCATCTTCTTTCCTTGAGCTCCGAATTTGAGGTAGGGATTCCTACTCACTCTTATAGTCTTTGACACAGATTTTTGGTTGTTTTGATAAAGTGTTGAGGTTGGGTAATTTTGGGACTTAGGGTTTCAAAATGCTAAAAAAGGGTTTTGTTATTTTCATTCTAAAAACGTGTATTATGAGTTTCAAAATAATGATATTGTTGTTGGTTGTTGATATATAGACCATTGGGTCAATATTGAGAAATGGAGTAGAAAACCCTAATTGGTTTTATAAATTAATTAGTATGATTAATTTGGGAAAATTGTGGTTATATGGAATTGAGTTGGACATAATGAAATTTGCTCATTATATAGTAGAATTGTGGAGTTGGATTTGTTAATCGCTCACTTTTGAAAACATTGATATTTTATCTGTTGGAGCTTTTATTATCTGTTTAGAAATAATTGCTTGGGCTACCGGTGGAGGGTAGTTTTGATTGTTGTAGACAATGCATGATGATTAGGCAAACTAAAACTAATCAATTGGATATGTCATAGAGTATGACGGTAGATAGAATACATTAACGTTATGTATTGATTGATTGTGTATATGACTTTTGCGTATGCATGTGTGTGGGGGGCTCTAATGAACCCAAGGTACCTCAAGTTGACTACAAAAGCTACAAAAGCCTTGCCCCATAAAATTAATATCCAAAGCCACCACAACGAAGAGTTCAATGATGATTGGCTACAAAATGCGGTAGCCCCTCCCTCACCATGACCACCAATTGAATTCGATTTTTTATGAATAGTGTAAATAGAAGACAATTTATGATTAATTATTACAATAAACCTTTCATTTTAAATAAAATTTGGTCACACTTCAAATGAAATTCATTACATTGCTTGTATTGTTGTAAGTCCTCATAGATTTGGTGGTTTAGGCCTTAGACACCAATCTATTTGAGTTGATAGCTCTTATTACATAGTTTTCATACATATACTCACACTTGTAATAATCATCTCTGTAACCTCCCTCCTTTCATGGTTTTCTTTGTTTAAGAGTTGTTTCAAACAATTGTTGTTTAAGGCATGAGAAAGAGACCTTCCATGCTTAATGGTATAATATCTTCGAATTTTCATTACTAAGGCAGCTTACCTTATATGGGACATTATTTTCAGGTACAGGTAGTATGCCACCTCCAAGGACATAGCTTGGATGATGATGAGTGTTGAGGACTCTTTTTTGTTTATTTTGTTTGTATTACATGTATATCAAGCCAAGGGCTTATTTTGTATAGAGTTAGTACTCTTCTTTTGTGTAACCAGGTGTTGACTTGGAAAGCTGTAAGCCCATAGGGCATTTGCTTTTGTTGTTAACATGTAATACAGTTGTAAGAATTACTCTGATGAATAGAAATGGTTGGTTTCTTTTATATCAATGCATGTCTAAAGTGATGGATTTTATGTATTTTTTGAGGGCGTTACAACTTGGTATCAGAGCGTACCGGGTTCGAATACTTTGGGTACGTGGGAAGTGATTAGTATCACAATGGGTTTGTCTCGCTTGTTAGAGACTTATGTGCGACATTATGTGCTTATTTGATAACATGTTTATGTGACTACTTGGGTATGGGATTTAGTTTCTAGGATGTTGATTGGATCCTTGGGTTTCTGTGAGTCTTGTTGGAAAAGCACTTGATCAATGCTGTTTCTAACTGGAACTCTAGTAACACCTCGGGACTGTTATTATCCGGAAATGAAATTCGTAAGTGCTTATGTGTTTATGTGCTTATATGGAGTGAATTGCAGTTGTCCATGCATTAGGACGTGAGTGTTATAGCTTCGGCACATTTGTGAATGTGCTAATGGTCTTGGTTACCTTTATTAGGATGTTAGGACGAGGACGTGGTAGACGTGGCAGACGTGGTAGGCAGGAGATGCCTTTACCGGATGATATTCCGGCACAGCAGGAAGGGGTTGGCCAGGCCAATGTGGCCGAGTCAGTAGGTCAGGAGGCTATGGGCGCTTTAGCCCGAGGGATAGTCGATGCTTTGAGGGAGTCTGTGGGTATTTTTCGAGTGGAGAATCTAGGTCAGGCTCCAGTTCAGGCCCAGGTTGTTGAGGCAGGGCCTTCCTTCTTGAAGAGAGAATTCTTCTAGTCCAATCTGAACGAGTTTGTTGGGGATCCGAGCCACTTAAGGCTGATGAGTGGTTGGAACAGATGGAGAAGACGTTCGAGATGCTTGGCATCAAGGACGGGGCTTTAAAGGTGACCTTGGCATTCTTCCGACTGAAGGGAGATGCGGGTCAATGGTGGAAGTACGAGAAGGGCAGTGTTGGTGGTGCATGGGAGGCGTTTGTGAATGCTTTCCAGGAGAAGTTTTTATCTTCAACTGCTAGGGAGAAGCTGAAGGAGGAGTTTTGCTAGCTTAAGTAGCAGGGTTTGTCAGTGGCCGAGTTTGAGGCTACTTTTACTAGTCTGTCCAGGTTTGCACCTGAACTAGTGGCGTCCGAGGAACGCCGTTGTTTAGAGTTTGAGCGGAAGTTGAGGCGTGGACTCAAGTTGAGGGTTGGAGGGTCCTTTATCCGAGAGTACATACGTTTAGTTGATGTTGCACCTCATATAGAGATTATGATGCAGGAGGAATATGAGGGGCAGAGAGGCTCCAAGAGGAGCCAAGATGGTTAGGGTGACGGCAGGAGACAGAGGGGTTCTAACCCTCAACAGTCTTAGGGTGGTTTGGCTAGATCGACCTTTCCAGTGCCGAGTGCGGGCTCTGGGAGAGGTAGTCAGGGAGGCTTGACTTGTTTTGCGTGTGGCCAGCTGGGTCACAAGTCTTCGGTTTGCCAGCAGAAGGGAGGGGGTCAGCGAGCTGCTTCTTCTTTAGCTAGACCTCAGGGCCAGAGTCAGGGCAGGGGCCAGCCTTTGTCTTGCTATCGGTGTGGTCAGCTTGGGCACCTAAAGAGGTATTGCCCAAAGTTGAGTGCTACTTCAGGAGCGTCTGGTTCTGGGCAGACGCAGAGTTATCAGCCAGCTCAGTCTGTGCAGGCCTCAAGGGCCAATCCGAGAGCTTCGTCATCCCAGTCAGTGCAGCAGTCTTTTGCTCCTAGAGGTGAGCAGGTAGATCAGGGGCCTACAGGGCGCGTGTATGCTGTTACCGCGCAGGACCTAGTACCGGCTCCATCAGTAGTGAGAGGTACCTTTTTGTTTTGCAACTCGGTTGCTAGTGTATTGATTGATACAGGTGCATCTCATTCTTTTGTGTCTGCTGCATTTGCATCTGTTTTGGAATTGGAGTTGGCACAGTTAGCATCTCCTATCTGTGTAGTATCGCCTGCTGGTGGTGAGTTGATCTTGAAACAAGATGTTAGAGGTTGTGATATAGAGGTCGCCCATCATCGGCTTCTTTTTCTTTTTGTTGTCATGCCTATGAAGGGTTTTGATGTTATTTTGGGTATGGACTGGCTATCGTCATACCGAGCTATTATTGATTGCTACCGCCAGAGGGTCACAGTTTGTACCTTGAGCGGGGAGTGTTTCCATTTCTTGGGGGACCGGTACATCCACTTTTTGCCACCGGGGTATGATTCGCGAGGGCGAAGTGAGGAGTGTTCGAACCGTAATGCGCAAGAAATGGTACC